TGGCTGCATTCAATCGTTTTTTTGGGCAGTCGATATATTTTGAAAGGTTCTGAATTGTGGTCCGTTTTGGCTACTAGTAACGGAGATTTTGAAATACTCAGAAGATTTCTGCTCGGAACAACTGCGATTGAAACATGCGAGTGGTGAGGAGGATTCGAGATTGAAGTAATCTTAGCTAATAGAATTTAATTTAGCATCTTCATTGATGAATCTTTAGTCTAAGGATAAGCTTTTCTGGGTTCGTTAATCAGGCATTGTTTCGATTTAGAGTTGAATGAATCTGTAGGGTGCATTTGGATTATTCGACATGACATGTAAATAATTTGATTGTATCACTTCTACCTGATGCCGGAGAATATTGGATCAGAAGAAGAAAATAGCAGCACAGTAGAGGAATGGCGAAAATGCTTCGTTGCACAGAATGTGTTGTAGAAATCATTTTGTTGTTGTTATTGTTTTTTCGTATTGATTAGTTCAGCAGTTGATAGTAGTCAAGTTGATGGCGAATAAATGCCATTTAATATCAGATAATAACAATTACTTATCTAAAATGATTCGTTGATAAGTGATAGGAGTAATTAATAAAACAACGAATACAGGTCGATGAGTGATAATTGAATGCTCGGATCGAGTTTGTTCGATTTGGTTGATGATGATAATGATGACTGAGATTGTTGTGGATGTTGGGCTGGATGGTGCCGGCCGTAGTGGAGATTGAAGCTCGTTGGCACTAACTGAGACCAATCGAAATCAGCACCCGAATGCGAACCCCTTTGTGCACAGCTTCAACTTCAGTTTTGTGGGCTGGCTGTGAGATTTCTTTTGAGGCTAACGTTAAAGACTAACGTGTTTTTCTTTATGACTGAAACAAATAAATATTAGCAGCCAGAGTGAAGATATCTTTTCATCTCGTGTTACTTGATACTCGCTAGCCGATTTCTCTGTTACTTTAGAACTTGAAATCGCTATAAAGCAGCAGCCACTTATCCACCATTCTTCGTGTATTCTTTAAGCATTTCATTGCGCATTGTTCTCACTATTACAATTGCAACAACAGCAGTAACAGCAATGCATCGCTATCTTGTGTGTGTTCTTTAATTTCATTTTGTTGGATTTCGTCTTCCGTTGTTTGCCTGCGATATATCATCA